CCAGGTGAGCTGTGCACACAATGAAATTTGCCTTTTCATCACAATGGCTGCCGTTAGCGATACGCGGTCTAACCCTGGTAGCCATGGGAGGTGAAATGATGCTTCACTCAGGAAAGTGTGGATAAAGTGTTGGTGAAGCGCGGTATGTAGTTTGCGCCGGACCATCTGTTCTACGTAAAACTGGGATCCCCTACTGCACTCTGCCGAGATTGTCGACGTGTCTACATAGCAACTTGGGATTTGTAGTGTATTTCATCGCTAACTGCTGTTGGTGCTGGAGTTTGTCTTCGCGGATCAACTTGGCGCAGTGATTTCCTTGAGCTATGTAAGCACTCCAGGTCAGGCTACTTGGACAGACTTTGTAAGCGCGCCAGGCTGTATCCCTTAAGGCCATGTATTTTCGAGTACGGCTCCTCAGGAACGTGGTCACTTGATTTGGACGAAAGACCTTGCTTTCTGACGCAATAGCCCTAGCTTGGTGAATTGGGTAACAAACACCAGTCAAGCGACATCGGACGGCTGATCGGTCAGGAAGAAACAGTCAGTTTGTTGAACGATGTTGGAAAGCATATCGTTGTTCTCGCTGATGCACTCCAAGTAGCAGTTATAACGAAGGTGCAACATCGCGTGATCGCTACGGTAAAGCGGTGCATCTATGGTCACGGTATCGGCCATTAGTTCCACGTTGGCCAGCACAAGGTCCAAAACAGAGTGCGTCACCCGTTCAGAATCGTGTGGGAGATGTGACATGGTTGTACAGAGGTACATCGGCAAGCACCTCTTGCAAGTCAGCCTTGAATTGTTCGGTGTGCGATGCTGGGACCTCGATTGCTTGCAGGAGGTGAATGTGTGGTCGCGCCTGGACTGGCTTCACCGCAGAAGCTAGGCACTGATTCATTTCCAAGGTAAAGACTGGAGTGCGGTAAACTATTGCTAGTAAACATCTATCACCACGTTTAGGTGCATACGACACCAAAGGGAATCGGCAACTTGAATTTCTGGATCGTCAATGATATCAACATACAATTTGGATCGATAATACAAGGTCACTCCGTCTCCTCTGCCAGCTAGATTGTTTCGTATGTAAGTCATGCCGGGTGGAGCAATGTTAACATCGGTGATATCCATATTCAGCCATGTATCGGTGACTAGCTGGGTTCCAAGGCTTGGAGACTTGACGAATACGAAGTTCGCTTTGCTTGCTGTCAAGACCATGTGCATTGGCATACAAGCATCTGAGGCCGTCGGTGGTTAGAAGCGCGTTTGTGAACGTTGATCTCCGGTGAGGGTCTACACCAACCCTTTCGTGGTCGGCTGCCGGCCTTTTCCTTGTAGGACTGATGCCGCACGCCTTAGGGCCAGTTCAGGTTGTTCTATAGAGTTCTCTGTGCCAGCAAGTGGGTGACCATCTTGTCCTTCTTCAGCTGCCGGCGTGCTTTTGTACGGTCTCCATTCCGAGCTACACGGTGACGGACTTGTATTGGTACATTGCCTGCACAATATTACCTTAGGTATCTGTGGCTCGGTACCTACCGACTTTATATGTATTTTGGAAGACAGCATTTTACAGCTGAAAATTCGCTCCTCATGGGTGCATAAAAGCGAATGCTGAATTTGATGTGCCACATTTTGTTCACATGTTCTACCATCAGTTCGGAGTGCAATGATACTTTCATCACTCGGAGACCACACTCTTTTAGTTAGGTGATAGCGGTAACCGTGATGTCGAATCAGCCATAACGTTTTCGTGTGCGAGCACTTCACGAATCAAACGCCATTCATGCGCTTTGGCCTCTAGTTCGTTTAATGTCTAGTGCTCTGGGATGCCGTGAACAATGATAGATTTTACGTCTTGTTGTTTACCTAGGTCATCCGGATTTTCTTTGCGTTTCCGGCATTCGCTGCAAAGAACAACTGGAAAAATTCCAACAGTGCATTTGGTGGCACAGAAGCGAGTGGCTGACAAGAGAAATGCCTCTGCATCATTATGTGACTGGGCTGTTACCTAGAGTAACCGTGGTTCACAGTAGTGTACGGAGTTGGGGTGACGGACGAGGCGTATCTTATTGATTGGCCTAGCTTGAACGCCTGTGTGTTGACAAAGGGAGCCGCACTGTTTCTTGTCGTCTTAGCTTTATGTACTTCGCCTCGGATTCAGCCACTTTAGAGCACATAACAGTCAGACAATTCTGGTGTTTAAGGCAGTAAGCTTCCTTCAGAAATTTGAAAAGCACGGTAAGAAGACGAAAACTGATAGGTGTATGCATTTCGTATTGTCTCCTCAGTATCATTAACAACAACCGGTAAGCAACTATATACTTAAATATGCTTGTGACCGCATAAGCATGAGGTGCAAACTACTTGACGGAAGTTCTACGCCAATGTGGATATAGGGGTGGAACCTCCGTCATTCATTTTGCACCTCATGCTTATGCGGTCACAAGCATATTTATTTGTGGCGTTGTTTGATATTCTTTTTGGAGGGACCAGCGGCTGCTTTCTTCATTTGGACAACTGATGGGGTGTCGAGTCCTGTGGTGGTAAGGGTAGTATTAACTTGTTTGGCAGCGGATGGGGTTACGATGAAAGGTGCCTCTGTCTTATGGGTAGCAATAACGGACGCGGATGTTGTCGACCCTTTAACAGTCTTCGAAGTGGCGGGTGGTTCTAATGAAGTATGTGTGACGAACGTATCTTTAGGAGCAGCCGTTAGTGTCGCTGTGGCAACCTCTGGATCGGTACGCTTATTTTCGGTCGGGCCACACTATCCTGAATTGGAGCTTAAGTTTGAGCATCCAATTTGAGGCACTGATTTGTTTGGTTCCTGTGGGACCGCTATCACGACTGCTGTTTACGCTACAATCTTTGTCAGCCTATCGCACTTCTGTGCCAACACATTTATGCATCCGACGAGTGGAATAGACATGCACTCAGTGCAGAGAGGGAATCAGTCGTACTATTAAGTTTTTTATCTGACTGATGCTTAGGTG